TACCTTGAAAACCCAGAGGGCTGTGGCGCCCCTGAACTAGCCCTGTAGGTACCAGGGGGGGTAACATGCCCTCAGGAGTCGGTAGCAGGTCAGAAGAGCCCGCACAAGGCCAGCCTTGGGCATCAGATGCCGATTAACCCCACACCCCACTGTCCGTGCACACACGTGGTCCCCTTCCCCCACCCGCACACAGGCAAACAAGAGTCAGACGGGGCTGAGAAAATTAAGTCATTGCACAAGGGAAAAAGATAAGAGTCAATTTTGTCCTTGGCTGATGTGACCTGGCTGAAGGGAAGGCCCTGAGCAATAAGGGTCCCCCCGCACATATTGCTGCTATTCGAGCCCTGTGCAGAGATGCCCGTTGCTGCACAGAAGAGATGGCTGCTGACAGAGAGCTGGCAACGGCACCAGCGCCGTCACCAGCACAGCCCAGGATTCTGCAAATCGGGTCAGATATACTCGCCCAGAACGGCACAGACCCGACCGCATGGGGAAACAGCATGTGGCCGAGAATAGGCCACTGACCGCTGCAGCCTCCCCGCCTTGCTGCGGAGAGGATGGCCTTTTTGTACCGCACCTAGCGTGCTGGGGGCCCCGGGAAACTCCAGCCATACGAAGCCACCCTTTGCTCCCCGCTGGCGATGCTGTTGCTGCCTGCAAAAAAATAAAATAAATCGAGAGTCTTTAGATTGCTACGTGCTCTGCGCTTTCTTAACTGCATCCGAAGGGGAAAGCAAAACTCTGCGAGCTGGATCGCAGCCACTGAACGCAGGGGGCGAGGAAGTGCTATCGCCTCCCCTGCCAAGGCCTGCTGGGGAACAGCCCCGACAGTAGCTGGCGGGAGCCGGCCGCACACATCCTGCTCGCCAGCTTTGTTTACATTCCTGCTGCTGCTTCCCAGCAATACCAGGGCTGCTCCCTGCAGAGGCCGTGCCCAATCAGCTGGGGCTGGAGAGCATTCGAAAGCACGCACTGGAGGGCGGCCAACTGGAGCTCCTGGCCAAATGTTTCGCTGAGCAAGCGGCTGGCGGGGATCCAGAGGCCGCACGCTCGGTGCCGGGGAAGAGGCTTTCCCCAGACCCAGCAGGTCGGCAGCGCGCGCTCCTCTGCCCGCAGCAGACGCTCCTGGGCGGGGACTGTCAGCAGCCGGGTGGCTCTAGGGGCGACGTTTCTATACCATGGGGAAAGCCTGCCAGGCTTGGGTCTGGGCTGGAAAGCAGACCCACAGCACAGGACGGCCTGGCTGGCATGATCGAGTGACCCAAGGGTTTGCAGGGAGTGGGGACTCAAGGAGTCCCAGCCTCTGGGATTTGGATCCATTGGGTGCACCAACATCCCCGCTAGCTCCAGACCTGCTACATCAAACTTTGGCAGCATCTCCTGCGCTCCCCAGCTCAAGGTCTCCCCTGGAGCTGGGGCAGTGGGGAGAGGAGTCAGCTGGGCATAAACAGTGCATCTCCACTACCCCAGAGCCCTGCTCAGGGTGGTACGGCACATCACAGACCCCAGGGTTAGCCTGGCCAGCTCAGGTGGAGCTGATCGCTGGGACAACAGTGCAGCCTCGGCCCATTCCCCTCCCCTGGCCCCAAAATCCAGTCGGCTTGCTAAAACACTCAGGATTTCACAGGAGAGGGCTCCTAAAATGTCGTTTACCTGCTTGCTGCAAAAGAGGACCTGCAAAACCCAAGCTAAACCCCACTTTCACTCCCCTTAAAATGCAACCCGGGTCTTGCGCAAAGCCGCAGCAGTAGGAATCGCGCAACGAAGAGAAACAGCAAGCGCCCCGAGGCTTGCATCAGCCAGCACAGGCTGGTAGCGCTGTGGCTACCCAGGCAGTGTCACCACTTGCAATCGAGTTACGCTAGCTTTGCACAACGGCCTCACGTGGGGCTGCAGTGCTGCAGCCGGCGATATGCCCCTGGGAAAAACAAAATCAAGCCACAAACCTGCTGCATCAGGCCGTTTCAGGCTCCCGGGAGTATAGGGTCCTGTTTTGGAGTGGGGATCTAATAGGTCGGGGGCGAAGGCTGCAATGTCCCAAGAACCCAGAGGGAGCAAGGTCTGGAAGTGACATCGCCATGGTGACAAGACAGGAAGATCACAGCCGGCGAGCTAAGAGCTTTTTCACAGATTAGGAGGAGAGATTACAGCCGCCACTATTTACAGGAAGTACACAACCACCACATTAAAAAAAAAAAGAAAAAAAGACAGAGACACAGCAAGAGGTGGATGTAAATAAGAGTGAACACAGGAAGGATTCGTGTATTTTTAAACCCCAGCTTGTAACTGGTGTGGGAGGATCTGCAGAGTTTCTGGAAAGCAAGCGTGTAGGGAAGCTACTCCCACCTGCAACATTAGCGCCAGACCCATCGCAAGGGCTCCGGGTGGGCTGGGACTTGGTGACGGAGGTGCTTCCGACCCCTGCCACTGAATGGCATCAAACCCGAAGCCAGGTCACTTCCCCTCGGTGCAGTCCCTCCCACTCCATCCTTTCGGGCCGCAAGCTCAAAGCCAAAGATACCCAAAGCCTTCGACTCCCTGCAGGGTGATGCCCGAGAGGATGGAGCTGGGCTGTTCTCAGTGGGGATGGCAGAACAAGGAGCAATGGGCTCAAGTTGCAGCAAAGGGAAGTTGAGGTTGGATATTAGGAAAAGCTCTCACAAGAAAGGTAGTAAAACACTGGAACGGGTTACCCAGAGAGGTGGTGGCGTCTCCATCCTTGGAGGTTTTGAAGGCCTGGCTCAACAAAGCCTTGACAGGGGTGATCTAGATGGGGATGGTCCAGCTTTGAGCAGGGGTTGGTCTCAATGACCTCTTGAGGTCCCTTCCAACCCTCATTTTCTACAATTCGATGATACTGTTTTTGAGGCGGTCTGGGGCATAGCACAGATCAGAGGCAGACCTGAGCCAGCTGGAAATGCGCTCAGCTCTTGTACTGCGAGATCCCATCCCCAGGTATCTACCCAGCTTCCCGACTCGCAGTCACACCTTTGCCTACAGCCACCCCCTTATTTACATGCTTTTACACCTAGCAAAACCACACCGTGCCTTTCCCTTCCTGCAACTCATTCGAGCCAAATTATTTGCATGCCAGCATCTAGGAAGCCTGCTCTAGTCCGGAAGGCAGGACCGCAGCCCTCGGGATAGCTGTTCCTCGCCCGTCACTGCTTGGACCGGATCACGCGGATGCCACCTGGATCGCGTGCCCGCCCGCTCGGCTTGGGGGGCCATGCTTGCTACCCGCCGAGCAACTCAGGCAGGCACTTTCCCTGCTCAAACCGAGCTGTTTCCTCTCCCAGCACCCCGGACGGATCGCACCGGGCAGCCGTTCTGCTGGGATCCCAGCTCTCCTCCTTGTGACGAACCCTAAATAAATGGGGGAAAGCCCCCCCCCACAAAAGCAACACACAACCCTACCCCCCCCCCATCTGGA